TATAACAGTTAACCAGCGGAGGTGGCCAGGCCTCAGAGTCGCCATTAGAGGAAAGGAAATGCCGATTCAGAGGCACCTCCCCATCAATGCCAAAGGCTCCTTGGAATGCCAGGTTCCAGGGGTCCCAGCCATTTCTATTTCCATTGCACTGAAGAAACTTGGTCTACCAGACCCATAATTAAAGGAAAGTTCCCTTATTTTTGTTCTGACTCCAGAACCGAGCACTAAACAGACTAAAGTTGAGCTCGTTTGTGCTCTCAGCACTAGGGTTAGGAGAGTGAGAGAGGCAGGGTCTGTCAGTGACAGATAGAAAGCAGGCCCAAGGAGTTCTATGTAAGTTGACATTCCAAGGCTGTATCACTATAGGAGCACTTTTGTTGTCTGCAGAGAACTCAGGAGAGCTGGAGCCTTCTGGGCACTTGCTGTCTCTGATTCTGTAACAGTTACAACTTGTAGGCAAGAATATTCTGCTAGTTTGGATTTTTTTCCCTTCAAATCCCAAAAGCAACAGGACTGTGTGTAAAAGCCCCTACCCCCAAATTAGGATTTTGAGTCAGGATTATAGGACTTCTCTTCTCCAAGAAGTGGGTAGAAGGGATGTGTATGGGAAAGAGAGACAGAGACAAACAGTTACAGAAAGACAGAGAGAGAAAGAGAGAGAGGAAAAGAGAGAGGGGAAGAGAGAGAGAGGAAGAGAGGGAGAAGAGAGAGAGAGAGAGAGGAAGAGAGGTGGAAGAGAGAGAGGGAGAGAGAGAGGAAGAGAGGAGGAAGAGAGAGAGAGAGACAGAGAGTAAAGCCTACCATAAAGCAGGCTCTAATGGGGAAGGCTTGTCATACTGCTGACATTTTACACACTGTGCATCTGTAAAGAGTACATGTCAAATGCATGGTGGACAGGGCTCTCCTGAATGCCTGTGGCTTTTGTTCTCTGGAAGGCCCCAAAGCTAGGTCCACGGTAGACCTCAGAAAGAACTGGTCTGACTTTCAAGCCCTTTTGCCTTCCATAAAGAGAAGCAACCCTTACAAACGTGATGAAGCCTCAAGGCTCGTCTTTCTCTCCCCCTTCTCAAGGATTCCATCCTGTGTCAAGACCTGAGCTAAGCCGTTTTTTTTTTTTTCCATCAAGGAGGGGGAATCTTGTAAAACTTTTATGCCAAACAAAGTTATAAAAACTTCCAGGGCGTTGCCTTTTCTAAAGGTTTATATGAATAATAAAGAGTGTCGTCGCGTGCACACTAACATTGACCAGCTCTGGGCAAGAATGGCTTAGTACATAGCATTATCCATCACTAGGGCACCAGGCAAACCTCAGCACTACACACTGCAGGAAATGTTGGCCTGAAGAACTACCCTATAGGGGGCGGGAGGGTTGGATGAGGGAGGAAGGGGTAGTGCCCTTGACTTCCTTGAAGTTCAAAGTTCTCCTTTGCCTTTTTGAGAAAAGGCCTCTCCTTCTGTTAGCCTTCTCCAGATTGTTCCTGCCCTTCTGGCTAAATGGTTATGGGTAACTCCAGCTCTCCGGTTAACTGGTTATGGGTAACTCCAGCTCTCCGGTTAACTGGTTATGGGTAACTCCAGTTCTCTTGACGACTTTCAGCCACCTGGTTTGCACCTTTCAGTCCCCCACTCCACCCCATCTCCACCCTTGCCCCCACCGCAGCAAAGCTTTTCAGTCTGTCTGGAACCCAGATCTGGAACCCAGAGGCTCTCTCTCAGAGTGGGGGTGGTAGGCCCACCTTCAAGGCTCCGCTGCTTTGCATTTCTCCAGTCACCGAGGGTCTGAGTGACAAAGAAACTCCAAATTCAAAGCTACCTCCAGTACATTTCTCATTTCAAGTACCCCTGACTCCCCTTGCACCCCTAAAGCCCATAGTGGAAAGGAGGTGGGGTCCAGAGAGCTCTCTCAGTCCACATCACTTAATACCCTTGTAAACTCCCACGTGCGCTATAAACTTGGATTTTTACAACCAACATTCCTCCTTTAGCTCCAGGAAACTTTGAACTCGGCCTCTGGTTTATTTACTTGGGGGGTGGGGAGCTGGGAGCTAAGAAAGGCTGAAGGAAAAGAAGGGAAATGTGGGGCAAAGGGGTCTGGGGTGTTTTTGGAAGAGCCAAGACCATCCACTGGGGGGTTTGTTTACTGTTTAGAACGGAAGCGTTTTCTAACACAGGCCAGACTGGGTCGTTAAGGGCGGAATGAAACTGGGTTTAGAGGCTCCGGACCGACGCTTTATGGCGGCGTCTAGACTGCGATCTTTTGTTCCAGGACAGCCTTGTGGCTGGAGGGGATTACCCCAAGGGGTTGAGCCCAGAGTGTCCCTGCCAGCAAGGGGGGTTAGACATCCCAGGAGTTTGAAGGTGGATTTGCTTAGGGGCTAGAGACCCTCCTTTTTTATTTATTTATTTTTTTAAGAAGGTCGCCACAGAAAGTCAGGTTCTTGGGCTCAGATCACACAAGCCTTTGTTTTTTCATGATGACTTTCCTCTCATCGTTGGAAGAGAGGTTCTTTTCTGGGCTATGTATTTGTAGGAAAGTGATAACTGCAAGTTTTAAATATTTTTCTCTAAGATCAGGAGTCCTTGGATGCTAATAATTTCCTTTGAAAATAGGTTTGTTCTATAGTTGTCCATTGTTGTACAGAAAATATGTTCGCACGCTAACAGTCACTGATATAGCTGGATATAGTGGATAAACATCACATCTCGAGAAAGTCCCTCCTCTCATGCGCACACAGAGGGCCCTCGGTTGTATTCCTGTCTACATTCATTAAATACTGACAGTGTTCACACAGGGAGGACATGAGCTGTGTACATCAGGTCACATTTGCTCCATGCAGACAAAAGTGCACAAACCATACTACTTCTCAAGTGCACACACAAAGACACTGCTCTGAATGATAAAACTTTTGTGGATGAGCACATTAAAGAGTGTGAGCCACAATACAGCAAAGTTGGCAAGTCTCAAAGAGCCACACTTAAAAATTAGAGATTCAGCAGATACCTAAGCTGCAGCAGTCCCTGTCATCCAAACAGTATCTACACTTGAGACCCAGGATGCTTTCGTCCTTCATCCAACAATGTATCATGGATGAAAATATTTTCTTGGAATTCTAAAGGGACAGAGAGACAGAAGAAAGATGAAAGAATTGGTCCTGAACTTCTTACCTCAAACAACAAATTTTGAAGAGATGAATGAATGTCTTTACTGAAAGAACTGAAGGGATTAGCTAACTTTCCACAGAAGAAATACATGCAGCAAATATAGATTGCTGTGAAGACTGTCCCCATAGGTCACCTTCTTTCCCAGTGCCCTTCTTTTTGCTAATCCCTACAAAACACATCTCTGGGACTTTTTTACTGGAACATCCAATGTATAAAAGTCAGGGTGGCACAGGCCTAGGCATCTGGTTCTGTCTGGAGGAGTTTGACCATTTGGGCAAAGGGGAAGGGGAAGAGAAAAGGAATAGGCCTCACCTTCCTATCTGGAAAGGCAGTGAGAAAGATGGGGAGGGGTTTGTTTGCCATCTTATTCCCCCCCCCACCTTTAAAACTGTATATTTAAATTCCAAAACAAGAGAGAGAGAGAGAAAGAGAGAGAGAGAGAGAGAGAGAGAGAGAGAGAGAACACCCTACCCTTAGCTCTACATATTTGACTGCAACAGACGGAGACATCTGGCAGGAGGGTCATGGTGAAGCCAAGAAAATTCCTATAAATTTAAATTTGATAATGGCTACAATTAACTCCACAACAAACATATACTTAAACAAGCGTTGCTGGGCATTTGGACACAGTCTGAGTTGCATGTGGGGAAAAGGAGTTTAGGACTAACCATAGAATGTCCTTTGCTCCAGGGCTGAAGCAGTCTTAGGCCACCTCTTGCCCCAGCCAGTGGAGCTGAGCACCAGCGTCGCAGCATTGGCCTGCTTCACCTCAGAGTCCCAGCATTGGCCTGCTTCACCTCAGAAGGCCTGGTTCTCACTAGCAGGCTCTCCCAACTGCCGCAGCCTCCTCTTCCTTCTCCTCCTCCTCTTACACCGCCACCACCACCTCCTTCTACTCTGTTGTCTTGAGAAAACAGGGGGTTTTAAGAGGAGAGGGGTTAATAAAAAGGTCAAATAAAATAATAAGATTGAACAGAATGAAATATTTTTATTTGCCACCAAAAAATTCACAGCAATCCCTCTGAGACAGGAGTAGAGTGGGGATTGCACATGTACACACGCACTCACGCACATGGACAGAGATGGGTGATTAGAATCTCACTCCGGTTCAGCCTCCCCCTTCCTCTACAGGTAAAGAGGTTTATGAAATATTTACAACAATTCAGCCTCCGCTAGAGGGAGGGGCCCAATCCCATTTTCCTATGCCTCCTCCTCCCCAATCCTGTTTCTTTTTAAGGAGGTAACAACTGCATAGGCTAGCAATAAATCTGGTGGGGGGGGGGCACTGCTTGGGAAAAGGTTAGGACACCTCAATGCACCAACTCGGAGTTTTCAAAAGAGGTCTCTACACACTTAGGGCGAGAACGACTAGGCTGAGGCGGGGCCAGGCGCAGACAGAGGTAGGATTTGGACTTCGCACACCTAACACCAGGTCAAAAGTACAGGAATTTCACAGCAAGGCAGGATCACAGTAGCAGTCCAAGCGTGGGGGCAAGATGGGGTGGGGTGGGGAGCCCGGGAGGTCTTGCAGACAAGGTGGCTCAGCGGTTGTTTTCACTCGGGCTAGGGAAGGTTTGGAGTTCAAGGATTGTTCGGCTCTGGCGCCCACTGTGCTCGCCCCTCCCCCTCCCCCAATCCCAGCAGCAAGACTTTGTTGCAAGGTGTATTTTCTTTTAAATAAACAGTCTTGGGGCCTTGGCGCCAATAGGGTCCACTAGTCACGGGTCAGACACTCCCTCACTCCTTTTTCCAGGCTGGGTCTCTGTCCCTACCGTGAATTAGACCCGAGGCAAAGGAGATTCTGGAAGGAAGTGCCAGTAACGGCAGTGGGGGGCCAGCCCTGGCCACAGTCCAGTTTTCCACCCGCGGAAAAAGATGAGTTATAAAATAAAAATAAAATAAAATAAATTTCCCTCTTTCCCTCCCCCGCCTGCAGTTACAGCAGCGGATTTCCGGAAAAGTACTGCAGCCGGTCTCTGCTCAGTTTTTTTTCTTTCATCCTTCGGTTCTGAAACCAAATTTTCACTTGTCGATCAGTCAGGTTCAGCATCCGGGACAGCTGCAGTCTCTTCTCTTTGTTGATGTACACGTTGAAGAAAAACTCTCGCTCCAGTTCCCGGATCTGGAATTTCGAATAAGGGCAGCGCTTCTTGCGGGTGCGGGGGGCGTCTGGAGGGAGGGGAGGGGGCAAGTGCGAGGAGAGGGGAGAGAGACACGTGAGACCCCGGGCGACCCCAGCGGACCCCAGCCACTGAACGCTCGGCCGCACTGCCGATCCCAGTTTCGCCGGCGCCGGCAGCCCTCCCTCTAGGCAGGCGGCTCTTCTTCCGTAGCGGATCCCACAGCCAGGTCTAGCTTGGTTCACTGAGAGCCTGGTGTCCCCTGCCCCTCAGACCAGAGCCCTAGCTGACAGGGTCTGCAGACAGAGGAAAGCCTGTCTGTGCGTTCCCTGGAGTGCCCTGCCTTCGACTTCGCTGCTCTTGCCCCTTCCGAGTGGTCCTCCCAAAGCTTCTCCAAGCCCACCGATCCGCCACCCCTTCCTCCAGAAACCGGAGGGGACCACGGAGAACCGGCGCGAAGGAGTGACTTTAGGCGGTAGTAGTGGGGAATCAGCGAGGAAACCAGCGTTCAGAAATAGCTAGACACCCCAAGCCTCCGGTCAGGCCCTGGCGCCCCGGGACGCCCGGCCGTTTGCCTGCCAGGCGACGCACACAGCCTGGCAGGGCCTGCCCAGAGACCGTAGACCCTGGAGAGCCATCCACACCCTTTGCGCAGGGAGCTTTGATCTTTTCCACACTCTCCCAGCACCGCCAAATCCCAGCTTGCGCGGATTTCTACTCAAAGACCCGTAAAAGCATGTAATTTGAACACGTTTTGTTTTAAAAGTCGTTTTAAAAAGAAGCGGAGCGGACCTCCGAGCGCCTCTGTGGACTCCAGTTCTGCCACCTTGCTTCTGTCCCTTACCTCTCCCCCTCGCTGGGTTTCTCCCGGTCTGTCCCTCGCCCTCCCCTTTCTCCCCCTTCACCCCTCCCCTCCCTCCTATCCCCCCTCCCACTCAGCCAGTGTCCCCATCCTTTCTTAAACTCTCTTCTAAGTTCATGATCAAAGTTAATATCGCCCGAAATGGTGGCACTTTTAAAAATTTCACACACCGAGGGAGATAACGGAGGGGGGCTCACCCGTCTTTTCCAAAGAGCCCCTTTCCCTCCCTCCCCACCCCTTCTCTATCGTAAAAAGTCGAGTCGTTGGGAGAGAGGGCTTTGTAGGTTATAATAAAATCCTTTGAATGCTTATAAAACTCCACATAAAATCGGACTGACCCAAAACATGAGGCTGTCCGCGCTCCGTTGGCCTGCCCCCCCCCCCCCGCCACCCTCTACTCCAGCCCTCCCTCTGCTCTCCCTAACTCGCTGCCCTCGGGTTCCCGGCCGCTGCTACCTACTGGGGGCGGCTCCCTTGACCGGTTCCTTGGTGGCTGAGTGGGCAGATCCAGACGAGCTGGGAGTCGTGTTCTCCTCCTCGGCCTCGGCCTCAGCACCAGCCTCTGCCCGGGACGCTAGTCCCGAGGCCGGGGGCGCCTCAGGCTCCCCCTTGGCCTCGCCCTTGCCTGAGCAGGGGGGCTCGGCAGGCGCCTCTCCGCCACCGCAGTAGGCGTTGTCGAAGAAGCGGTCGAAGGCTTGGGGCAAGACGCTGTTCTTGTTGACTGAGGAGTAGAAGCCGGCGGGGGCCGCGTGCGGGGCGCTGGGGTGGTGGTGGCCGCCGTAGGAGCTTTCATTTTTCATGAGGATCTCAGTGACTGTGGAAGGAGGCAGGCACTCTCGGTGCATAAGCTCGTCGGCCGCCGCATAGCAAGACGAGTAGCTGTTCCGATGGTGCCACTTGCCGGCCGGCTCCAGGCCGTAGGAGACCTCCCGGACTGGGGGCACCTGGGCTGAGTAGGGATAGGAGATCTGCCGAGAGGGGGCCTGGGGCAGGAAGGAGGAGACCGTGGAAAACTCAGGCACGTAGTAAGTGCAACTGGGCAGATAGAGGTTGGAGGCGCAGCTCCCTCGCTCTCCGAAGTCAGCGCCCCTCTCCTTGCGCGAAGGCGAGCAGAAGTTGCCCAGGTTGACCGAGTTAAACATCGTTCTCTTCTGCCTGATCCGGATGGAGGTTTTGGACCCGGTCTAGCGAGGGGGAAATTTTGGGAAGGCGAGATGACGCGTTATCCGTCTTAGTCTCTCTCCCCGAGCACGTGATCCAAAGTAGATATTGTCATATATCAGTTCGGAGCACTTCGTAGACGTAGGAGGGGTTCTCTCTTAGGTAAGATCGGGGACGTTCAGGCGATTGGTTTGCAAACACCGCAGAAACATTATGAAAATCAATTGCAGATTTGTATTCGGTTTTCTCTCGTCACTCCCCTCCTTTCCATGCAAGCAAAGGAGGAGAGAGAGAACTGGGTTGGGGTGGGCGGTGGGATGGGCGGGGGCGGTGGCTGGGAGGGGGTAATTGTATTTTTTTCCCTAGCTTCTGCTCCCCCCCCTCCAGGATTGATGGAAAGGAGGAGAGCTTTCCGTTTAGGGGGTCTGGATCCGCTGGAGTAAGAGGAAGGACTTTTTCCTACCTGATTCCCCTAGGAATATTGAATCCTTTTCTTCAAGTCTCAGGAATCCCTCTACCTGAAGAATCAATGCCTGTTTACAGAGTTTGAAGAAGTCTTTTAGATTATTTTCCTGGCCAAAGCCGGATGAACTCCCTTATAGGACAGGATTGCAAGAAGAGTATCTGAAGTTTTCCAAAGGTGAGGCAGCCTAGCTATAAGCCGATGTCCCAACTTTGCCTAGCTGGCTGTGCTGCCGCTGGCGAGGGACTCCTATTAGTCATAAACCAGTGGTGAGCAGCTTGCCAGCCGCCCAGTCGGTGCCTGGTGAAGTCTGGGAAAAACCTTCTCTAATGTTGTGTTAAATATTTAGTATGAGAGAGTGGCCCTGGGTGAATATTTCATGCCTGCCTTTATTGTCAATCAATGTGCAGAAAGCTACAACCACTGTGGATTTTAAAATCCCAAACCTCAAAGAAAAAGATTAGAATGAGAGTCATCTGTCTTCCCTATCTGAGGCCCTTCGAGTTGGGAGCTCAGATTCAGCTAAAGGACTGAAAAGAAGCCTGGCAGTGGGGTCCATTGCTAAGGAGACCAAATTAGGGGGTCCTGTTTTTTGTAATGACTTTGGGAGCTTAGGTGGGTAGAGAGGCCAGGTGTCTATCTATCTCTAGCATCAATCACAGGCCGGTGAAATAAACTGTGAACTCAAGGTGGGCAAAGTGGGTCCAGAAGTCCCTCTATCACTACTTCTTTTTTCTGCCTCCTTCTGGGTCCAACCTTGCCCTCTCCCAAATCTGTAAGCCTTCTTGGACTGCTGTATCCAGAGGGGAGTACTCAGTGATTCTGCCCTTCCTAACCTCCCATCCCTTTGACCATTACAGCACACATCTGGGCAGCTGAAAATAACTTTATTGAAAGCTTCTGGACTGAGTCCAAGGGGCCAGAACAATTGGCAGGAGCAGACAGTAACAGTAACCCTGGTCCTAAGCAGGAGCTATCAGGACAGAGTGTGTTAAAGAAGAAGAGTGATGTCCCGAACAACTCAGCCCTGTACTCTTAAGGAAAAACCAAAGGGAGTTCAAATCATCTTAGCATCTAAGGATGCTTCAAAATGATTTTCCTTTTTAAAGTGTGTTTGATTTGATCTTCTTTGTTGAAGGGTGAGGCACTGAAATCCTTAACCAGACAGGGAAGATACAAATATACTTTTAAATACAGCCCCCCAAACCCATTCCTCCTCAACTCTTTCACCTGTCCAAATTTACTCCGCCTTTAGAACAGCACTTGATGGAATCTGCCTCCACCACAGTGGGTCTTCGTTCTGGTGTGTGTGCCTGTGTGTCTGTGTGTGAGGATAAGGGTGTCCTAAAATACTGCAGAAGACCCCTCCAGTGTCTATACACTTAGTGCTAGGCATCGTTTCCTGTACATTTTAGTCTTGGCCAGATCTTAACTGAAGGAAAATAACTAGATTGGAGTATCTCTGTAGAGAAGGGACCAGAAACAGAAGAATCTGTTGCGTCTTCCCTTTTTTTATAGGAGGAGCTGGAGGCAACATTTTTAATTATAATGGTAGAGAACTGCGGACGGTGGTTTTTATGGGGTTTGTGGCTGACCTCATAAACTTGAGTTTACTGGAGGCGAAATGCTCCCCAAACAGTGATAGAAATCAGAAAAAGGGAGGTCAGAGGTACCCCATCTTTTGCATGGATGATTGCAGTCTCAGCTCCAGTTTTCCCCATGTTTCTACTGCTTCCTTCTTCCTCTTAATCTCCTGGGCAGTATGGGGCCCAGTCCCCTAAGCCTGGAGAGAGAGGTGGTGGGGGGTTCTTGCTTCCTGTGAGAAGACAGCTGTGGGCCTGAGCACTTGAATTTGACCACCAAAGTTTATTCCTGGGCCACCATAAAAGTGAGACCGGCGCCTGCAAAGAGCAGTCTTATTTTCTTGAAACCAAAAGAAAGAAGGCAAGAAGGGTGTCAAGGAGCCGATGACTCGGAGCCTTGAGGACGCTCCCACAGACTGTGGAAAGGAATATTCTGTCCATAAAAGCAAAGTATGAAGTTTTTTTGTTTTTCTGTTTTGGTATTTCAAATTGTTTAAAACAACTTTAAAAACCTTCAGCAACTGATAATTACTGCTGGAGTCAAGGAGAGAAGGCCCTGATTCCTGTGGTCTGTTAGCTGTTGATTAGCAAGAATGCCTGGAGTGGGGGTAGTGGCCTACCTGGCTGGTGTTGGGACCACCTGGGAGCTCCCACTGGGTTTGGGCTTTCTCAATCTGTGGTATCTGGTAACAGCATCCTTTACATTTGGCTGAAGGGACACCATGTCTATGGCCCCTAAATCCATCACTTGCAGGCACTACTACTAAAGGCAGCAGTTTTTTGTTGTTTATTTTTGTTTTAAGTCCTCATCTGGTTGGTGCCAGCCATCTCTTCGTGCACTTAGAATCCCAGCTTTCACCTAGATCCTCTGTGTGATGACCGCCTTACCTCCTTGAGGGTTTTTGATCGGCTCAGTCTCTGCTAGCTTGGCCACTAACAGGCCTCTGCGGTCTGGGCTGCTGCTGCCTCGGTGGTCTGGGTAGAACTGGGATAGACTCCAGAAGCCTTCTCACCCACATAGGGAACAACAGGGTCGAATTCAGAAGGGGGCACTGTCCACAGAATTCTGTCCTGGGAGGTTCCTAGAGTAGCCTCCCGCAAACAACTCTAGGGAGCCTTTCCTCCTCGCCTTTCCCTGTGAGAGTACAGTCTTGATAAGAAAGAGAGACCACCCCACAGACCATGAGCCAGGAAGAAAACCCTGGAAGGAAAAAGGAGACCTTTAATTCAGCCTCTCCTGTAGTCAATAAAAAGAAGGGCACCCTCACTTCTTCCCAGGCTGGGCTGTCGAAGAAGAGCCCCTAGAACAGTTTGCTTCTCCTGACTTGTTTTTCTTTCACTTAGCAGCAATGAGGAGTATAATTTTTTTACACTTTAGCGTTCTTTGGGATTTTTCAAGCGAGAGGTTTATTTTGAACCCGGAACACCCTCACCTCACCCAATTCTCAGACATCCAGAAGCCTAGGACTGTTTGCCCCTCAGCCCAGGTCAGCACTGCAAGCCCAAGGTTTCAGGTTAGGCCCCCAAAGCCGGTAATCCTCTGCTGGAGGAGCCCCGGGTCCGTGGACAAGGTAGGGGAGCAAAGAGCAAAGTCAGAGGCTCCTCCGACCCCATTCAGCTTCCTTCCCGGAGAAGTTGTCCCCCTGAGGCTAGCAATGCGACCCCATTTCTCCCATAAAAGCCCCCTTTTGTGAGCCAGCTTCACCGCTCCCACCCTCACCCCATCCCCCACCCCCAAAATGAAGAACCTCTCTTAAAAACAGTTTGGAGATGGAGCCCTTGCCATTGGGCCTTAGTTTCCAAAGCTAGTTGCGACTCCACAGCAAAGGTATTTTCTGTGGGAGAGTGCCCTCTTAGACCACCGGGATCTCCTGCCACGCTGCTGTTGCGGCACAAGCGTGGTAGTTGGGTTGGCTGGAGGGGCCGTTCCCTGGCTTTAGAGCCTACTTAGGCTCGGACCCAGTCCCCGCTGATCAAAGTGAGCTTGCGGCATTTTTATGAGATCAACTTCAGTGGCTCCTTACTTGTAATCAGACGCCTGGGTCGAAAATGCAAAAGGGAACAGCTCGTCAATTCAAAATGGAAAAGGAGGGAGGAAGGGAGAGGAAGAGAGAGAGAGAGAGGGGAAAGGGGGGGATAAAAAATAAGTTGACACAGAAGATCCCAGTCACCCACGAAAAAGACCCCTTGCCCCCAGCAACAATGGTTTGTGGGTCTGTCCCAGCCTCCAGGCCATGTCTTCTGCCAGCACATTGGCCCGACTTCTGAGTCCTAATGCCAGGGCAAACAGAGAGGAGCCCTGACTCGCCTGTGTTAGGAAACTCCATCCGAAGCTCCCACAGTGGAACCGCCTCACGTGGGCAGGGTTACGGCCTAGAACTGCGCAAGGAAGCCGCCTTCTGTTCATGCTTTAAGTCTCTCCCCTTTTGCTGCTCTTCTCCGCGCTTGCTCGTTCTCCGTGGTTCTCTCTTCACTACAGCCAGAAGTTGAGTTACAGGAAGATTCGCCAGAGATTTATCGCCTGGCCCCAAACTTGGAGAGCCTCGTTGTCATAAACAGCCGTCTATTGTCTAGACTTTTATCTCCGGGTATGGATCTGGATCTTGCATTAGTGAGGCTCTGGGGATACCGACTGTCTCCGTGGTGTGTGCAGTGCAGCGGTGCCTGCCGGCGGGCGATCACTAGGGGTTTGTTTGGGTCAGTTTAGAAGCATGAACAAATTTGTTCTTGGAGTTGTGCAGGTATACCTAAGTATTCACTGGAGAAAGTCTCTTTTTCTCTTGACCTGGGAATATTCTGGTACGTGTACTTGTGTGTTGGGTGAGAATTGGTCATGGTGTGCTTTGTTCTGGGCATTTTAAGTGTTCCTGTCTGGGCTTTTTCGGGTTTTATTAACCTGCATCCGCTTGCTGGTTTATGTCGCCTTCCAAGCCGATCGTCTGGTGTTTTTCAGTATCAGGGTCTATTGTGTA